GCTCACTGATCTCTGAATTGAAATGAATCCCTGAAAACACTTTCTAGCCAACACAAGGAAAATGGCAGACACATACAGAGCACCAAAGGTCTGACTTCGGGAATATCCAGTGTATGGTATTTAATTTCACAGAGTGGTAGAAGGTTAAGATTAAGCAGTAATACCTTGAAATTTGCTTATTTTTCCTCTGTGCACCTTTTTAAAATTTTATATGGATGAATGTTACCCATTTGTATGAAAGTGTATCCACGTTGTACAGTACCCAGAGAGACCAGAAGAGGGCATCAGATCTGATGGTTGTCAGTCACCACATGGCTCTTAACTGCTGATCCAACCATCCAGGCCCTTCTCCACTCTTCTTAGCCTCCAACTACACACTCCATTCAAAAGCAACTGCCAGAACAAAGGGCAGGATAGGTACATGAAATGCACAAATACCTATGTCAGACTGTGTTCTTGGCTGCCAGTTCCACATAATGTGGGGTTGTTCAACCCCACATTAGAAGTCTACAATAATCTCTCCACCAACCACTCCAGTCCAGGACACCTTTGGTGAGTGTGTTTTCTCTCCTAAAGGCTTTTTAGGAGTAGATTTCTAAAAATCTGCATACCTGTACTTACCTATCATTCATAAGGCCCTGGGTTCAATTCCCTAACCCCACAAACATCTGCATTCCCCAAGGCCTGGCTCAGAAACAACAGAAATATTTAGGTATGAGCCATATGCAGCTACTGACAAGTATTTTATAAGCAGGAAAATGACGTGCAGAGAAACTAAAAGTTGAGACCAACTAATGAAAAAATAAGGCATCTTTGATGCTGCCTACTCAGAGTAGGGCCTCATCTTGTCACCTAACCCTACCTGCCACCATTTCCCACAGCCCCTTCTCCTTCACTCAGCCTGGTGATCACAGATGTGCCCATGTTCTCTCCCCTCTCCCTGCTCATTTAGCTATCCCCAGGCCCACCAGATGCTCTTCTTGGGCTGCACCATCTTCCAGCCTCTTCTGAATTCTTCTGAACTCCTACAGCTTATCACCAGTCCAGGAAGCTCTGTTTTCTCCTGAAACCCTAAATTCCATGAGGACTAGGATAAATGACACCCCAGCTCTCTCTCCTACCATCTGAACAGTCATACCACTCCTCACAGCCTCAGTTTCTTCATCTCTAAAGTGGAAACAACAATATAACATCAAAGAACAGCTGACAGGAACAAACAATGGCTATAGAAATGCTTTAGCTGCTATTTTAAATCATTAACCTTGTAGCTGCTATTTCTGTACACCCTCCTGTATCCCCAGCATATTTTTGTTGTTGCTGGTGGTGGTTTCTTGAGATAGGGTGTCATGAAGCCCATGATGGCCTCAAACTCGCTATGTAGCTAAGGCTGGCTTTGAACTCCTGATCCTCCTGGTTCCACCTCTTAAATTCTGGGATTACTAGCATACGCCACCATGTTCAACACACACACATACTTTAAAAACATAACCAACAATACCAAATGTCACAAAAATCACTTTTTTTTTTTGGTCTTTTTGAGACAGGGTCTCCCTGTAGCTCCAGCTGTCCTAGAACTCACTGTGTAGACCAGGCTGGTCTTGAACTCACAGAGATCCGCCTGCCTCTGCCTCCCGAGTGCTGGGATTAAAGGCGTGCGCCACCACACCCGGCACAAAAATCACTTTTATGAATTCTCACAATAGTTCAGAATATACATCAGAATTTCAATCCTTAACCCAAATTAAAATTAAAATGTCTGCGGTCTGGTTACTGATCATTGGCTGCCTAGCAATAGGAAACCTTCATCATCTTCATGGTCAAATGTCTTTTATAAGTGATAATGGACCTGGAAAGGTATTTTCCTTCACATATCATAAACTGGCCAGTTGTATTCCCTGGCAGAAAACCTCACCTTGACTTAGTTACTCTGTTGTGAACAGAGATGGCTCAATTCTTTCAGTCTACAATGTCCTAGATAGGATACCAAGTGTTGTCAGACACTGTCCCCTTTGAACCAGAGTATTTGAGCACAAGTCTCTTCCCATTCCTCCCTCCTTTTCTCTCAGACTAAGGTTCAGAAGGCTTACACAATCTTCTGAGGTCTTTTAGCCAAGAGATGTGCAGAGACAAAATTCAACTCAGGTCATATCTAATTATTTATTTATTTCCACTCACCTACCCCTATGTTCCTTATTATGACCTCTTCTCTACATTCTATTCTGAATATATACCTCCTGAACGTCCCATCCCCCAGAGTCCCCCCAGAAAACCCCAAGTCCATTGGCTGGAATTCAACAGTCGACTGAGAAGTGACTTTGAGAAATACAAGTGCAGTGAAAGAACACTTGAAGACAGGAGAAAAAAAAACAAAAAGAAATGAGGAGGAAGAAAGGAGAGTGATACTTAAGAGAGATACTTGGGGCTAGAGAGATGGCTTAGTGGTTAAGGGCACTTGCTGTTCAATCACAGGTTGGATACCAGCACACACATCAGGCAGCTCACAAATGCCTGTAACTCTAACTCAAAGGCTCTTCTGGCATCTGCAGGCACTTGTGCACATACACTCATACAGACACATGCACATTCAATACATAAATAAAATAAAATATTAATAAAATATTTAAAAGAGAGAGAGAGACGCTCAAATGGGCAGCAGAGGACAAAGTGTCATAAAAGTGGGGAAAGACTTTCAGGTCCCAGATCCGTGATCACTTATAAAAGACAATGTACAAGCTGGGCGTAGTGGCACATGCCTTTAATCCCAGCACTTGGGAGTTCAAGGCCAACCTGGTCTACATAGTGAGTTCCAGGACAACTGGGGCTTATAGGGAGATCTGTCTCAAA